TATTAGAGATCTATCCGATGTAATATTCTTTTTTGATGTGTTTGTCGAGATCCGATGAATTATGGATTTATGATCATATTATCTATGCATATTATTTGAATCTTCTCTGAATTCTTATATGCATGATTTGATATCTTTGTATTTCACTTTGAATTATTGGTTTGGTTTGGCCAACTAGATTGGTATTTCTTGCAATGGGAGACGTGCTTAGTTTTGGGTTCAATCTTGCGGTGTCCTCACCCAGTGACAGTAGGGGTAGTGAGGCGCGTATTTGTGTTGTTGCCATCAAGGATAAAAAGATGAGGTTTTCATCATATTGCTTGAGTTTATCCCTCTACATCATGTCATCTTACTTAAGGCGTTACTCCATTCTTTATGAACTTAATATTCTAGATGCATGCTGGATAGCGGTCGATGTGTGGAGTAATAGTAGTAGATGCAGAATCCTTTTGGTCTACTTGACACAGACGTGATGCCTATATGCATAATCATTGCCTTGGATATCATCATAACTTTGCGCTTTTCTATCAATTGCTCGATAGTAATTTGTTCACCCACCGTATTATTTGCCTTCAAGAGAGAAGCCTCTAGTGAAACCTATGGCCCCCGGGTCTATTTTCCATTATATATTTTCAGATATATAAACCAAAAATACCTTTCTGCATTTTATTTACTTCTAATTTATTTTATGTTTTAGTAATCTTTTATATCTATCTCTATCAGATCTCACCATTGCAGTTGACTCTGAAGGGATTAACAACCCCTTTTACTGTGTTGGGTGCAAGTGTTTGATTGTTTGTGTAGGTGCATAGATTGGAGAATTGATTGTGCGTCCTACGGGGTTGATACCTTGGTTCTCTAAACTGAGGGAAATACTTATCTCTACTTTGTTGCATCACCCTTTCCTCTTCAAGGAAAAAACCAACGCAAGCTCATGAAGTAGCACCATCATCATCACCAACCTTCCTCCAACACCAATTTCATGATGCTCACCATCGTGTGTGAGTAATTTCATCATAGGCTTGCTGGACGGTGATGGGTTGGATGAGATTGATCTTGTAATCGAGTTAGTTTTGTTAGGGTTTGATCCCTAGTATCCACTATGTCCCGAGATTGATGTTGCTATGACTTTGCTATGCTTAATGCTTGTCACTAGGGCCCGAGTCCATGATTTTATATCTGAACCTATTATGTTTTCATGAATATATATGTTTTATTGATCTGATCTTGCAAATTGTAGACACCTATTACGAGTTATGATCTGCATACCCCAAGGTGACAATAATTGGGATTCTTTCCTGTGATTACAATAGTTTGAGGAGTTCATGTATTCACTAAGTGCTAATGCTTTGTTCCGGTTCTCTATTAAAAGGAGGCCTTAATATCCTTTAGTTTCCATTAGGACCCCGCTGCCACGGGAGGGTAGGACAAAAGATGTCATGCGAGTTCTTTTTCATAAGCATGCATGACTACATACGGAATACATGCCCACATTATATTGATGAATTGGAGTTAGTTCGGTGCCATCCTAGGTTATAACTGTTGCATGATGAATGCCATTCGACATAATTATCCATCAATGATCTGTTGCCTACAAGCTTTTCACATATTGATCTTTGCTACGTTACTTTGCCATTGCCACTGTTACAATTGCTACAAAATTGTTACTGTTACTTTTGCCACCATTACCGTTACTTCCATACTACTTTGTTACTAAAAACTTTGCTATAGATATTAAGACTTCCAGGTGTGTTTGAATTGACAACTCAGGTGTTAATACTTGGGAATATTCTTTGGCTCCCCTTGTGTTGAATCAATAAATTTGGGTTGAATACTCTACCCTCAAAAACTGTTGCGATCCCCTACACTTGTGGGTTATCAGAGAGTACATCCACTGCTCAAAATTAGGATTACTGTTGTTTCAGAGTAAAATGTTTCCATGTGGATCGAATCTCTTGACGAATTTGTCTAGTTCTTCATCAATGGTTATGATTTTTGGACATCAAAACCAATGGTCGGATGTTTTGCTTTTTTTAGAATTTTTAGGATTTTAGTCCGATTAATATGGGGGCCTCAAAATTAGGAGTATCCAATTAGTAAATACAAGATTCCCTCTAAATGTGACTCAACCATCGCATTGGTGACTCGGCGGCAATTGGATCGCCACCACCTCTAGTCTTCATTCTCAACCCTTCCACCCAGCCGCTGCTAGATCTCGATGCTCGAAAAACCCAAGCAACAACAATAATTGGCTTCAATTCTCGATTTTAGATAATGGAAATAAAAAGTATTCGGCCTTGACCCTGGCAGGCTACGACCTTCTTATTACGGATCACGACATGCCTTGGAGATCAAGTTTCTACCTTCATCATCTATGTTTTGGGCTATATGTCTCATGTCAAAGCCATTAAGCCAAGATCCAAACATATGATTGACATTTCTAGGAGGTTTTATGCCAAACTTGAAGTAAAGAAGTCTCCAAATGAATCTAGCATAGCAACAGTCAAATAAGAAGTGATGAATAGATTCTAAGTTACTACATAAACTACATTTTAAATTCCGTTCCAAGTTTCGTTTAGTTAGATTATCTTTAGTCAACACAACTCTCTTGATTAAATACCACATAAAGATCTTGATTTTTAACAACATTTTTAGTTTCCATAGTGTCTTCTTGTTCACCACATGTCCAACATCAATCACAACTTTGTACATGGAGTTTTTTTGGGCGTGAAAACTTTGGATCTATTCATCTTCAATCATGGCAGTACAACAAACACCAGAAATAATAAAAACTACATCCAGATCCAGAGACCACCTAGTGACGACTACAAAAACTGAAGCGAGCCGAAGGCCCGCCATCATCGCCCATCCCTCGTCGGATCCGGACCAAACTTGTTGTAGTAGACAGTCGAGAAGTCATTATGCTAAGGCCCCATAGGAACAGTGTAGCAGAACAACAATTGTCGCCGGTGAAGAGTAGCGTAGATTAGAAGGATCCAAACTGAAAACACACAAACGTAATTGGACTACAACCAGATCCGAGCAAATCCACCACAGATCCGCCGGAGACACATCTCCACACTCCCACTGACAGTGCTAGACACACTACCAGGACGGGGGCTAGGCGGGGAGAACCTTATTCCATCTTTAGGGAGCAGGACACAAACCCTATCAAAACTCAAAGGAACATCTAAAAACAGAGCCTTCCCGCCGGCAAGGGCTGAGATCCACCATGCCTCCATGGCCCTAAGGCCACCGGAGACGAGGCAGACCGACGACGACACCGGCGAGAGCCAGAGAAACTCTAAGCTTTGCACATGGCGTTAACTGAGAAGACACCTGATTGTGTCTACAAAATTATTTAATTGCACATGAACAATGCTTGTTGGAAGGTTTCAATGCTCAAAAATGAATCTATAACTCTCATTAAACCAGTTCAAAACTGAGAGTCACCTGGTTTCTTCTCCATTTGGGTTGTAGTCTTGTTTTTAATGTATTTCCTCCTAAGTAAACTATACCACATTCCTTTGTGATTTACTAGTTTAATAGCCTTTTACTTATGAGGCACCTATTATGTACTTCAATATTCAGAATACCAAGGTCGCCTATGTCCTTAGGTTGGCATAGAATGTTCAATTTGGCTAACTAGTATTTTTTTCGTGTGGCCTTCACCTTGCCAAAATAACGGAGATCTATAATAATCCATTTTTTCTAGGACTCTCTTTGGGAGCTCAAACAAAGATAGTACAAACATTACTAAACTTGTTAAGACAGAGTTGAGAAGAACCAGCCGACCTCTTTTTTGCTCATCTAAAAAATTGTTAAGACAGAGTTGGAGGTGAAAACGATACTCCCTTCTTTCCTGTTTAGAGGGCTCATCTAAAAAAATTCAGATTTCCATTATATTAGGCTCACTTCGTGTCCAATTGAGTTAAAGTGCTTTGAGTCTCACGTCATATTTAATTCTTAGAGATTGGAGAGAGGGAATTAGTGGTCATGCATGCATCAAATTCTACATACACCATGCAAGTCCAATAAGATAGAGAGAGTGATGTTTTTATTGCTTCGGGAGTCGAACATATGGAAAATACTCGTATTTCATTGCATACTTTTGTATCCACAAAACTCATGGCATCCATCAAAATCTATCTTAGTCGACGAGATTTCAGATCTAATTCCTCTAAACCGGAAGGGGGAGTATATAAGAACCCCTCCTGGATTCCCAAAACAAAATTAGTAGAGAGAGCAAAAGAGCTGGCAGCCTCTAATAAAAGCTCCACTACACATCAACACAAAGTGGATTATTAGGTGCTCTTCCGTGTGCCACTGGTGCAGGTCAACTGAAAAATGCGGTTGATAAACGAGCAACGATAAATATAAGTATTTTATAGACTCCATAAATATAACCCGGCAAGGAGCTTTCTTAGAAGCAATTGAAAATTTGGGATTTGATTCCATAGCCTCGGGACATCATCCACATGTAGTCCATCCACCCTTTGAGAATGCTGAAGGGCCATCGGTGGTCCAACTTTCGAAGGACGAGGTGCTTTAAAATAGCTTGCTTAGCTTCAGTGTTATTGAATTTGATGTCAATTGAGTTCTACTCCTTCCCTCCTAAAATAAGTGTCTCAAGCTTAGTACAATTTTTACTAAAGTTAGTACAAAATTAAGACACTTATTTTAGAACGGAGGGAGTATTATTCATCCTAGAAGGAAAGTTGTGATACAGTGAAACAAATAGCTGGTTCTTTTGTTTCAATATTGGTTTGTCGAAACCACCTTTCAGACTCTGATTTTCATTTCAGGTCAAGGATCAAACTTATTTCCTCTCACATCTCTCTCAGCCCCAGCTTAGGAGGCTTCTTTTTCCACTGGGGTGTATAACAAAGGTGACATATTTTATCAGATCAGGATAGTTATGTTTTTCCAGGACTGCCGGTGTATTTTTTGTAAATTGAGCTCATCTTTTACAAGATGAAGTTCGCAGTCTGGCTGTTCAGATGGACCTTCCTAACCAAGCTAGAAAGGATTCCCAGGGGATATGTTTTCTTGGAAAGGTGATTGCTTTAACATAGTTGTTAATAATGCACATGTTTTGTGCAAAATATAGTTCTGTCCTTTCTCCTAGTTTTTTCTTATTTTAAGCTTAAAAATTCTCTCTTTCTAGGTCAAATTTAGAGAATTTGTTCAAAGACATATAGGAGAAATGGAGGGTATGCTTCTTGAGGCTGAAACTGGAGATTACCTAGGGACACACCATGGGTTTTGGTTCTATACGATTGGTCAGCGACAAGGTTTGCGACTTTCTGGAGGACTTTGGTACGCACTGTTGATAATACACTAAAATCAGCTAATTAAAATGTATATTGCCTGAAGTATTATGCAATTTAAGAAAGATCTGCCCTCATGTAGCACATATCTCTTTATCCATAGATTCATCAAATGACTTATTCCTTACGCAGGTATGTTGTGGAGAAAGATGTGCAAAATAATGTGGTTTTTGTATCAAGGAATTACTATTCACTGGATAAGAGGAGGCGGACATTTCGTGTTGGATCACTAAACTGGTTTAGTGATTCTGGGCCATCAGACAATGAACGCCTTAAATGCAAGGTACCATAGTTACACAATTAGGTCTTGTGGCAGTATAGCATATTTGAATTGAAGTTCTTACCATCTGCAAGGGTTAAATGCTGTTTGTTACTCCCTCTGTAAATTAATATAAGAGCATTTAGATCACTAGTTAGTAATCTGAACGCTCTTATATTAGTTTACAGAGGGAGTACAAAATATATGTATATGTTGTCCTCGTAAGGAAAAAAAATCTATAACCACCACCCCAATCAAACACACAACCCCCAAAGCAATCATCAGCAGTCCATTTTTCCCCCTGTCAAAACATGTGCATGGTACCATCTGTATGCTTGGACTCGTTTAGGTGCTAGGTTAGGAGAGAGTGGTTCATAAATCCTATTGATCCTCGATTACAGTTAAGCAGTTCTGAAACCTATCAGTTCTACCTTGACCTACGGTCGTTAATTTTTAATTTGGGTTTATAGGAAAATACGGCGGCAGCTTCCAACTCACTGTTGCCTGATCCATCTTCGTTTTAACTTTTATACACAATCTGTTTAGTATTCAGATCAACCGTGGATCTGCTTTTATCATGTGCTGCACTTTATTTCGTCCGTTAGAGCATCTCTAGCAGACCTCCTATAATGCCGACTCGCAAAACGCGTTTACAGTTCACGAAAAAACGGCTTTGAGGGCTGACGCGGGCGGCGGTAGAGTCAGACCCCACAAAATGGACCGTAAAAAAAGATATTCGCAAAAGATGCTCTTTTACGGGTCGGTATATGGGGTCTGCTCGGGCGCCGCCACGTCGACCCGCAAACTGAAAACCCCTAATAAAGCGAATTTGGGAACGATTCCGACAAATGAGTTCAAATTCAAACAATAAAACATAGTTCGCACGCAAATAAAATCATAGTTTTATAGGACAAACGCAAAAGGGCTTCATGCAAAAGCGACGACCACGTTCGTCATCATCTTGGTCGCATTTCTTTCTTCGTCATGATCTTCACTCCGCACCACCTCCATCGAGCTCATCGACGCCCCCGAATCCATCGCTGACACTTGTTTCAACTCCGGCAACGAAATCATCGGTGGGCGCACTAAATGCATCGGCGACATTGGTTCCAAATCCTGATGAGAAAACATCGCCGGCACTATAACACGCACCAGCCGAAGCAAGCATCCTCCTCTTCAAGATGTCTCTCCTTGCCATATCATGCCATTCTTTGGTGATGTCGTCCATTTCATTGCGGTTCAATGTCATGATCCTATTCTCTTCGGCAAGAAGCTTGGACAAGGCTTTGTTCTCAGCGGCACGTGCTCTTCTCCCCTCAATGGCCGCCTTGCGCAACCCCTCGTCCTTGAGCAATTGCCACTTATCTTGATTCTCTCATGCCTTCTTCTCGGCCAACTCTTTCTTTGTCTTCGATGTCTTTGCTAACATCAACTCATTTGATTGCACCATGACATCTATCTTGTCCCGCAAGCTCGATGATTCGTGTTCCCTCTTGATCTTCTCCTTTGTCTTCTTGTCACCATCGGGCTTGTTCAAGTTTCTTGGGCCATCTTCATCTTCATCTTCATCCATGTTCGTAAGTGAACCTCTCTTCGGTGGGAATTCTTTGTCAATCAACTTTCACTTGTCGCACTCTTTGAGCATATCCTAATAGTGCTCTAGTTTAATAAATTTGCCTTCGGAAGCTTCCATGTCTTTGTATCTTTGTTGGATAATTTTATCCTACACAATTAAAACAAAGTCAAATAATACCATCACTTCATATGATACAAATGATGTGCACAACTTGGGACGTGAAAACGAACTCACATAGTCGGATTCCACGGTTTCACTTGGAGGTGCATTGCGAACTTGTTCCAAGCAAGAAGCCCAACGGCTACAAATCGGCTTGATCAGGTCCCAACGACCTTGGAGTGAGCGAAAGGTCTGAAATGTCCTATTGGGATGCTTCGCCATCATGCGGGAGTATTGATCTTCGATTCTTTGCCAATACCTCTTGGAGGTTTGAGATGTACTCGTGCAAGCATCAAGAGACACCGCACTCCAAGCCTTGATCGAGATTTGATCTTCCAAGATCGTGTAGTTCTTTGATCTGACGCTTTTTTTGCTTGCGCTCGCTCATAAGCCCCCTCATCTACCTCCTCCACTTCATCTTCACCATCGTGATCATCCACGCCACCCTCCATTTCATTGTAATTGAAATCAGCGAATGGGGCTTGATAGATGTCCAACAAGTTCACGAACTCAGCAGTGGCATTGTTCGACCACCGCTACATTGAGTGACATCAAGTTACGAGCTACAACAATGGCGAAAAGCGAAGCAAGAACAAGGGATCGAATATGCATACTTTCCGGCCATTTCATCAAACACCTTGCCTGCGATGGAAGCAGCGCCGTTGAACGGCATTGTCGGGGAACATCTTGTCGGGGCGGAGGGAGTGACGAAGGCGCCGGCCTTTTCATAGGAACCTTCTTGCGCTTCATGCCCGAAACCTTGCTCACCTTCTTCGCCGACGGCCGGGCAGATCGCGCAGCGGCCGCGGCACCCGGCGCGCGTGCCTTTCCGGCGGGGCCAGCCGGATTGCCGCCATGCACGACAACGTTGCCCTGCCGCTTGCGGGCAGGCCTGATGGTGCCTTGGGCGACGGCCGGGGCGACATGACCGGTGACGAGATCCGCAGGAGGGGATTGCGCGTGCGCGACCTCCACGGTGACGGGGGACGGCTGGGAGGCTTCCATGGCAGCAAAGAATGACCGCGGAAGATGGAACGGAGCGGGCGGTGGCGGGGCCGCATGGAAATTTCCCTCGCACCAAATCTTGCTGCGGATAGGGGGCGAGCTCGGGTTGGCCTCCCACCCCGTGAATCTAAAGGTTGAGGGCGAACTTTTGCCGCGCCCTGCAAAAAGTTTTACGGATCGGACACGTTTACGGGATCTGCTTGGGCAGAATTTTCCGCGCCGACCCATAGTTTGACGGTTATTTTACGGGTCGCGGTGTTATACAGGGTCTGCTAGAGATGCTCTAAGTTGATATCCATGCTACTGTCAATACCAGGTACGGCATAGTCCCGATTTCCATGATTGCACCGTGGCAAAAGAGCAAACCGAAGAGAAGGGAGACGTTTTGGAGGGTCGTCTGTCCAAAGACGACCAGGGTTTAGCAGCTGGCCAGTTTGCAACGTTCTACCGTGACAATGCGTGCCTGGGGTCAGACATAATCCTGGATTCCTATGACGAAATGAGCTTCCCTGTGTCTGCAAAGGCGCTGGAAACTGCTAGGATGGAGGATAAGTCCAAGCTGGGGAAGCCCATAAGGATCATGAACTTGGAGCATCTGGGGAACCCAGAGCCGGAGCCGGCCAAGGTTTTTGACAGACATCACCAGCTTCTTGTAGCCTTCTCTTGACTACTTACGTCTGTGATCATGTGAAGATATACACTGGCAGTTTGAAAGTTGGCACACCCTGCAAATGCAAGAATCGGGGAAGTTCCAGAAACCATCATCGTTATGCTGCTCCAGTCTGTTGGTGCAAACCCTAAACCCTAGCTCGCCCTAGCTCCTTTCTACCTCTCGCTTTCTCTCTCTCTCTGTGACACGAACCGAGGAGGAAGAAGGAAGAAGGAAGAAGAAGACGCGGTGTACAGGAGATTTTCAGGCGCACGAACGCCACAGCCGCACGAACGGCCACTCCACTCAAGCACGAACTCGAGCACCCCACCTCACCATTACAACGATCACCACGCGGGCTTTATACCCGGAGCCAGCGACTGGGCACGCACCCACGCTCCCTCCCCCCTCGCGCCCGCGATCCGCCCGCCTCGCTCGTGCCCACGACGCGCTCCGACGCGCACGGCTCACGGCGGGCTTCCAATAGATCACGCGCGAGCACCCCGCACGTCTCGCCAACGGCTGTCCCCTACAGACACGCACACTCTACACACACGCACACACTCGATCCGCTATGGACCCGACGTGTCCGACTCATCCAGCGCGCGCCCATACACGCGCTGGTCGTGTCCGACACGGTGCCGCGGCTTATTAGCCCAATACAGTCAGGAGCCCCATCCAGGTGGTTCTTGAAAAGGTGGCATCCATTGGCGACTTTGCGTTTGGGAGAAGAAATGCTTTGCCACCGGATAAAAGTGGTGGTGGAGCATCAATCAACGCATGATTGCCCATGCAAGAGCTGACCTGGTCTGACATAGTTGCCATGTCTAAGCAGGAAAGGCAAGCGGGCGAATGGATAGGCATGTTGTTCCCTCTTGAGCCAAAATGTCTAGAGTAGTATTAAGTGTTCGTAGTCAGCGGTACCACTTCTAACTGATACCCTGTGAAGTTATGATACGGCAACACTAATTTTTATTAATCAATCAACAGGTTCTAGACTAAACCAGGATGGTTAATCACAAAATCATTCTCCTTTTTGCATGGCAGCATTCTGGAATCTAAACTGGCTGCGTGCTTGATTGTACTAGAATGAAGGCATGTGTGGGCAGCTGTGAGAGAGATTAACAAATTGTAAGCATGTAGCACATGGAGAGAGACGCGGTACCGTTCGTCATGTCGCCGCCTGGATTCTTTCTGCAGTAAGAGATACCAGACCAGGAGTAGTAGCACGTACTGATTATTTTTTTGTATAAAAGGCCAGTAAAGCCACCTGGGCCTGGCGATTTTTCTGAGGGCATATCCTTGATAATGTTCCTGGTCTCAACCTTGGAGAAGCAGACAGGTTGATCTCGGCCGACCTTGGCTGTTGCACACACCAATATTGTATGTGTCATTTCGTGTCATTCCGTGAGTGCAGATTTATTTTAAAACGATGGCCTTTTTGTCCACCTAGTGCATTATGTCTCTATACAAACAGTTATACCATTTAGTCATACCTCTCATCTCCGATCGCCATATCTAGCCACCTATATCTATAGCCTGACCTCCTGCCGATCTCAGGCTAGCTAGCAGCAGCCATGGCTTCTACATCCGCTCTCAAGACGACGGCCGCCGTGTTCCTGCTGGTCCTGGCCCTAGGGCACCTGACGGCCGCCGCCAATGCATCTCCGCATCACCAGGACGCTCGACGGCTGCTCGCAGAGCACAACAATCTCTCCGCGAAATCGGGCCTCCCGGTAGACGCAAGGGTCGTCGTCGGACCACAAGAGCAGCCCGGAACCACCGCCGTCCTGACGGATGCCGATGGCGAACCCTTGTGCCCCTGCTGGCCCACGTGCTGCTAGCCAGCCAGCGGCCAAAGGATGTTGATGCTCGACTGAAATGTCGCGACCGCATTTTCGGGATATAATTTCCAGAAAATGGCCCTTGTGCTCACCAGCCCCAGGATTACTGTTAGCTGATGAGGCACCAACTTGATACAGAAATTCCAAGCAAAAATACATAAAATATGTAGTACAAAACCATTCTGGCCTAGGAGTACAACAAATGGTTTCTAGTGGTTGATGGCGGAAGCGGTTTGTGGATCATCAGTGTCCGTGGAACTCCATTTCCCACAGGAACAGCTGACCAGGTTAACTCCTATCTTCGCGAGGCTGCTATCACCATTGCTTAGGTTCCGGGGCTGTCATCGCAACGCTCCTCTCCATGCAAGAAATCTGGCCAAGACAATAGCCAGGGACAAGCCAGTGAGTACTTTGAATGTATTCGCAAACATTATGAACACGTGTATAATATAAATGATAATCATGCGCTGAAACATTCTATGATCACATCGTCAGTCATAAAATAAAATCTCTGATGCATGCAAGCAGGTTATTTATATGCAACATGGATATGCAATGCTGGGGTAGAAATAACATGCACCGATCAGGTGTCTGAAGCGACGCCTCGAAAGGGCCATGATATGAAGCATGCCTCAGTCGGGCGTCTAAGCGACATCACATAAAGGGCTTATATGGTAAATAAATGACAAGCATGCCACAGTCGGGCGTCTGTGCGACGCCACATAAAGGGCTTGTAAAATAAATAACAAACATGCCACAGTCGGGCGTCTGAGCGATACCACATTGAACATATAAAGGATGAGCAAGTGTGCCCAACTAGCGGCCGTGACCACGTCTCCTTTTATCCGTCTGCGTTACTGTAGCTACGAGGGAAGGGATAAGGTCTCGAGTGCTCGCTTCCTCCGGCCGCCTCCTTCTCTTCCTCTTCCTCTTCCTCTCCCTCGGCGTAGCCCCTCCACCTCCCTCCTCCATCGACGGCGTCTGGTCCAGATGGGGCTCATCTCGTCTCCATGGAGAGCAGGGGTGGACAGTGGGAAGCGGTGGGGAGAAGCGAGCGGCAGCCGGCAGGGAGAGCCACGACGGGGTGGGCAGTGGGAAGCGGTGGGGAGAAGCGAGCGCCTGCCGGCAGGGAGAGCCACGACGATGGTCGGCGTCAGCTGCCACTTCCTCCCCCCGCCGGCGCCGCGAGGCCGCCAAGCCCGCGCCCGAGCTTCCCGTCCGTGAGCGGTCACTCCGCCCACCGGCCGTCCCCCGTCTGTGTGCTTCTTCTCGGGACGCCGACGCCATGGAGCTCATCAAGGTGCCCTCTCGTCCCTCTTCACCTCCTCCATGTGTCTGTCTCCATTCGATTTGGTCCTTTGATTCAGCTTTCTCACACAAGCGGATGGTTGTTGTGCTCTGTTCGTGTTCGCGCTCGTGCAGCTCCCTCTCTGCTGCAGGAGGATTGGATCGGATTGGTTTCTACATGCTCTATTATCTGTTTGAGAACCGAGTTGCGGCCCTCCAAATCTTCAGCCCCAGAAGGAGGATTTGAGAGTGGAGAAGGGTCAACTGAATGTGATTTGGAGGAAGGAGTTGTCCAGGAATCAAAATGTTATTATTCTACTATTCTGCAGGGGAGAATCTAAAGATTATTTGTTTCTTTTTATGCCTGCAGATCGCGTTTAGTGTTTGGGATTCACACCCTACATTGATAAGGTCTGAATTTAACATCCACTTTTAACACTGGGATCCTCAAGTGTTTCAGTTCGTACTTTGCCGACGTACAATCTATTGGCCACATTTTCTAGCACACTTATTCCAACTGAAGTCAGCTCCTGCTTGCACTTCTCCACTGAGTGAATACTAATAGTTCTAAAAAGATAAACCACCCATAGAATTGGTTCTAATTAGATCCTCTGAAAGATGCAAGCAACTAGAGTACCTTAGTCCATAGGAGTCCTGCAACTGGTTCAGAAGTTCTTGAGTAAACTAGATCAGTGAGAATATTAATTGAGTCGCTGCTCAAGAAACAAAATAGAATAACGACAGCGTAGCTAATACCATTTGTCTGTGCATGATGTATTTTGATCTCAAGTGCATTTGAATGGCTTGATTTTTGCAGAGATCTTGTCACCTGCGCCCTTGTTTGGTCGTACATAAAACTGTCATCTTGCTTTAAAGTCAAGTGGTCAGGTCTTTGATAGTACGCATGGCTGAACCCACCTTTTGTTGAATTTGGGAACCGTCTAATATAGCTATTTTTTAAGAGGAGCTTGAACAGATCTCAGTATATGTTAATTTTGTAGAACTAAAGGTTAGCACAGAATTGTATGGTTTTATTTTCTGGGTCAAAAGCTTGATTCATGCAGTACATTCTCTAATTCTTGATACATTTCAGTATTCAATTTTTTTATTAACAATACAAAATAGTCATCTTGCTTCAGATTCAAGTGACCAGGTCGGTGTCGGCCTGCCCATAGCGCCTCCACTCCATCCCCCTTTGCGTCACTCCTACCACCGCTCGAGGCCATGGCCATGATGCCGCCGGTGGAGTATTATTTTTCTACGTTTTATCCATGTGGATCTAACCTTACATCTACTGGCCAACCTTTTGATGAAGTAAACATTTACAACTCTGTTGTGGCTTGTGATTTACTTATCTGACTTTTTTCATTATTTGTTGCTTTTACAGGCTGTAATTGTGCCTGACTGACTAGGTAATTCTCAGCGAACTGAAGAAACTAAGCTTTCAGGCATGTGTACTGTAAACAGAACCAAGTTCTGCATATATTGTATTTGCAAAAATGTTTTTGGCCTGTGTGGTTCTAACAAATTTGAGGTGATAAATTCTGAACACTAAAAGAATTAGCTTTCTAGGACCGGTTTTCTTGTATGACCTTGCACTACTGTATTGATTTTCTTGTACTTGCATGGTCGGACTAATAATCAGCACAGTACATTACTAATTCAATAGGACTAATTTATTTGAACTAAAGCCTTAGTATCTATGTTCATAATATGTGCAGATCACCACATGCAGACTATTCATTCCCTGCCAAACTGCACATGCTAGCTACTATTTGAAGATGACGTTGTAAAAAAATGCATAAGCTGGGGATGGCATGGTGATGCTGCTGATCGAGAAGTACCATCCCAGTGTGTACTTCCTCCAGCCCATAATTTCAATTTTCT